AGTCCCATGTGTTAGATTGGACCGACTTAGACGTAGATGAGGATGCCTTGTATGAAGAGAGACCGGTTCGGGTCTTGGATAGGCGGGATCAAGTCTTGCGAGGCAAGACCATTCCCTTGGTAAAAGTTTTGTAGAAGCATCACGGAGTGGAGGAAGCCACTTGGGAACGTGAGTTGGAAGTCCGTGAAAAGTATCCGGACATGTTTGCTGATGTGTAATCATGTAATGAAATTTTGTAATAATATTGAACTTTAAGAACATTATATATGTCTTAAGTTGTAAAACATTGTAAATGTTTTGGTAAATGGAAGCGGTATTAACGTTATACATGTTGAGTGTATTGTGAAAATGCAAGCATGATATTAGTGTTGCATGTGTTAAGAAATTGTGGAAAATGAGTTGAAATGGGTAAATTTCAAAGGATTGCATATTGATAAAACAGGTTGTTGTGTATAATGTGAAATGCCTCTTGAAAAGAGATGGGATTGACCGGTAATGGGTCGGATTGTTTAATATTATGTTGTAATATTGTGGGGGAACGGAGAAAACTTGTTTTTGAAAACTTGTATTTAATTTCGGGGATGAAATTCTTTAAGGGGGGAAGGTTATAGCGGTTCCGGTATTCCCTTTACTGTTCAGTTGCATTCTGGACTCGGTTCTGTGGAGTTGGTAGTTGTGCCTACCTTGTTGTTGTCCTTTAATTCCATTTGATTGAGTTTTAGGATGTGTTGGGCATGTTTCAAGCAGGTAGGTCGAGCCTGGGTCTAAATCCTTGTTGCCAGGTTTTTGGTCTTTCTGCTCGAGCGGGTCGTCTAGCGCTCGAGCGGAGATTGCACACTCCCAGTACTTTTGTTGTCTGCAAAACTCCTGCAGGTGTGATTTCTACGCTCGAGCGGATTTCCTGCGCTCGAGCGGGTAGTACTTTTTTAGTGTAAGTTCTGGGAGGGGGAAATCTACGCTTGAGCGGATTGGTTTTCGCGCTCGAGCGGATGTACTTTGTTCTTGTGTCTTGGCGCTCAAACTGGTCTTCTTGAGCTCGAGCAAACCTAGTTTTTTGTTCTTGACGCTCAAGCGTTGTGTTCTCCGCTCGAGCGGGAATGTCGTATAACAGAGAGCAGCTGGGCATCTTTGAATCATTTTCTACACTTCCTCTCTTTCTCTTACTTTCCCAAAAACGATTTTGAGAGCCTCTTTCTCTAGAAACTCCCTTCTTTGTAGGGTTTGATCTAGTTTGAGTGCTTCCCTTTCCTTCGCCCTTTGTAAAAGTTGTGTTGATCGTCGAGGGCTATCTTTTGATCCAAGAATTTCGGGATTTGGAGCATCTTCATTCTCGTCATTTCCTTCGTTGGGTTTCATCTCTTGAGGTAGGGATTCCTACTCACTCTTATGGGTTTTAACCTAGATTATTGGGCATTTTGTTAGATGGAATGATTTTGGGACTTAGGGTTTCAAAAAATATAAATGGGGGTTTTGTCATTTTGATTCTTAAATATGTATTTTGGGTTTCAAAATGGTGTTATTGGTGTTGGTTATTGATATTTGAACCATTGGGTTAATATTGAGAAATGAGAAAGAAAGCCCTAATTTGTATGTAAATTAATTAGTGTAATTAATTTGGAAAAGTTATGGATTTATGGAATTGAGTTGAATATAATGGAATTGGCTCATTATGGGATGGATTAGTGAAGTTAGATTTATTAATCGCTCATTTTTGGAAACATTGATATTTTATCTGTTGGAGCTTTTATTATCTGTTTAGAAATAATTAGTTTGGGCTACCGGTGGAAGGTAGTTATGATTGTTGTAGACAATGCATGATGATTAGGCAAACTAAAACTAATCAATTAGATATGTCATAAAGTATGACGGTTGATAGAATACATTAACGTTATGTATTGATTAATTGTGTATATGACCTATGAGTATATACGTTGTGTGTGTGAGAGAAGATAGGGGATGTACTCCACGGTTTAGGAAAAGATAGGGGATGGACCTCTAAACCGGATGTTGTTTGGGAGGAGATAGGGGATGGACTCCGCTAATACAGCTCATTTGCTTGTCAGTTAATGTGTTGATATAGCTCATATACTTATCTATCGAAGTGTTGATATAGCTCATATGCTTATCTGTTGAAGTGTGGATACAACTTGTATGCTTATCTGTTGAGATGTTGATATAACTTATATGCTCATCTGTCGAAGTGTTGATATAGCTAGTATGCTTATCTGTTGTGAAATGAGAAATGTTTAATATGAGTCACTATCTCATGTAAACTGTTGGCCAGGTTCTGAGCCGTTGTTGTGAATTATGAACTTGATAAGAAATGGAAAATGAAATGAAACATAGACATAGTGGTCATGTAATGGAAATGGTTTTATGAATTGATTTATGGGAGTTTAACATTTATCAATTGCTAATGTCTTAGTTACTGCTCATATTGTGTTTAGCATATCTCTACTGGGCGTTGGCTCACCCTATATGGGACATTATTTTCAGGTACAGGTAGCATGCAGCCTCCAAGGACATAGCTTGGATAGTTGTGGGAGTTGAAGGCTCTTTTTGATTATTTTGTTTGTATTACATGTATATCAAGCCAAGGGCTTATTTTGTATAGAGTTAGTACTCTTCTTTTGTGCAACCAAGTGTTGACTTGGAAAGCTGTAAGCCCTTAGGGCATTTGCTTTTGTTGTTAACATGTAATACTGTTGTAAGAACTACTCTGATGAATGTAAAGGCATTGATTTTCTTATATTACTGCATGTCTCAATGATGGGTATTATGTATTATTTTGAGGGCGTTACACATAGTGTCTCTATATCTCATCAGCATTGTCAAAGACCACAATTGTCTAATGGTTGTCGTGGTTGATTGGGAAATGGATATATCTGTTTTTCATTGCTTCTGGAAAATGGTTGTCCATCATTTTTTCTCTCAGTGCTTGATCTTGGTTTTGTAGTGGAGTCTGTAAGTTATATATATGTTTGAAATATGTTATAAAACTATGTAGTAAGACTTGTTAAGAAAGTAGAAAATTTTGCAGTTGAAAGGTATGTTAAGTTTTGCTTACATTGATGAGTGTTGAGAAAACATAAGATTTTCCTGCGTATGGATTTCTTGCAAAGGCTAGATCATTTTTCTCAAATTCTTCAATGGTTGGTTGGAGTGCCAATTGCTTTTCTGAGAAGGCATCAATGACCTGAAACATATTATATATGAGAATGTGTTAGGTTTGTGGAATAGGTTATTGAATATGAACAGAAAGTGTAAAATTATGGAGTTGGAGACGTACATTCCCATATAAGGGTTCTCTGTTGGTCAATCTGCATATATCTGAAAAGTATACGCAATTTTCATCTTCGCTGCCAGACCAGACACAAGCACTTGATTGTGTGTTGTTGATGAGTTGAATTTGGTCTTGGTCTTTTTTGGATAGGCTATGCCAAACCTTATTTGTTTTGCGGCAAGAAATAACGAGTGGCTTGTTTTGGATTGATTCTTCCTTGAAATCATCATCACTTTCCAATACTTGAAGTTGTGTCTTCTCTTGATTGGCATGCTCTTTTGGGTTGGTTTCAGCAACAATTGCTTTCTCTTGGCCAATATCTTCTTGCATCTTTTCTTTCTGCTATTGTTTTGCTTTATGAGCACCCTATTTTTGCTCGGGTTCAGTAGCAGGTTCTGCCTCTGTTTCGATTTCCTCTTTTTCTTTTCATTCTTCTTCTCTTTTTCTTCATCGGTACCCTCTGTTGGTTTGGGTACATTAACAACAGTTTGTGTCTTGTTCCTTGTATCTTCTTTGGCTTTTGTCATTGGTTGGTATTCAAAATCTGGGTCATGTGCTTGTTTTCTTGACTTTTGTTTGATTCTCTTGACCATTGATCTTTGTTGGGGACTGCCAGTTTTTTTGGTGGACATTTCCTTCAATTGATCTTTTTTTTTTACGCAATTCAGTCATGAATTTTTGTTCCATATCTTGCATTTGTGCTCTCATAGCTGATATGAGCTTGTCCTTGTCGTCCTTTTTGGTTGGTGTTTGTGGTTGGTCATGATCTATAAAAATGTTGGATTGTGTTTTGGTTAGTTTAATTAAATTTTGCAGTTTGCTTTAGTATTAGACAATAGTTTACCTTGTGCATGAAATATGCCAGATTTCTCTTGGAGTTCTTTTTGTTGGTTTGTCAGTTCTTGTTCATTGACTTGTTGTTGTTGGTTTGTTTGTTGTTCTTCCTGTTCTTGTTGTTGGTCTTCTTCTTCATCAGTGTCTTCTGATTGATCACCTTTTGCTTCTTGTCTTTCTTCTGCTTCATCATTGTCTTGTTGTTCATCAGGTTCTTTTTCTTCTTTTTCTTTTTCTTCTTCTTCTTCTTCAGTTTCTTCTTCATCAACTTCTTGTTCACCAGTCACTTGTTTTTTTTCTTCATCACTCTCTTCTTCTTGTTCATCACTTTCTGGTTCTTCTTGTGGCTTTTGCTTTCTTTTTTTTTTTTTTTGGTTGTTCTTCTTGTTCTGATTCTGATTGATGTTCTTCTTCGAGAAAGTCATCCCCATCACTGTCTAGAAGTCTTTTTTTTTTGGTTATTTTTGTTTTCTTTTTTCGCTTATTGTCCTTTTTGTGGTCATGTTTCTTTGCTGAAGAGTCTGTTGATGTGTTTTGATTGATATGCAATAACTGTATTTCTTGTTCAGTTGGGGTTAAAGCACTTTGGTTAACCTGCATTGGAACAATGTGGCATATATCAGTAATACTGTAAAATTGGTCAGTTTCATAAGATGAGTTGTACTGTGAGTAATGTGGGTTAAGTGTCGAAAAATGCTGCTTAAAACTGAAAAATGTTACAGTTTCATAATATGAGTGATGTGAAATAGATTTGTGCGTTTAAACTGTAAACTTTTGCAGTTTCATAACATGAGTGATGTTAAATAAGTGTGTGCTTTGAAACTGCAAACTTTACTGTTTCATAATATGATTTGTACTGTGAATAATGTGAGTCAAGTGTTGAATATATGTTGTTTGAAACTGAAAAATTTGACAGTTTCATAACATGATTTTTACTATAATGACTGTGAAGGGAGTGTTGAATAGATTTGTACTATGATAGTATAGAAGAGTTTGAATACCTTTTCAAAGTAAGCAAGGCTGATGTGTTTCCACTTGGAGTACATTTTGCCAAGGTTCCATTTCATAAACCTTGGGAAGCCTTCTTTGTTGGATGGTCGGAGGAGTTTACTGTGCTCACAGTACCAGTACTGTAAAAAAAAATTGAAATATGTTAGATAGTTAAAAATAGGTGGATATCTGATATTTTTGTGTGAACTAGTTGAGTAATGTGTCTACCAAGAGTAACATGACGCATCCAGTGACATGCCTTGGGTTGTTGTTTGCATTTGCCATTGAATTCATTAGTGTGTCTTTTATTGCCTCAACCCAATTGTACTTCTTGATGTTGTTGAGATTGTCAACATAGTTGAGGAAACTCCAACTGAGTGTATGGCCTGTTGTAGGCATGAGAAGTTTCAAGCACAAGTAAAGGGTGATGACCCTTGCAAGATCTTGACAATCATTGGTTGATTTTCCTTTTTTTGTTTGTTGAAACATTTTGGTCAAAGACTTGCCATCCAATCTCTTTACTGATTTGCATCTTCGTTTGTAAAATGGAAGCTCAAAATCCTTTGGTCTTGTATAGCATTTGGTGGTGATGCTTCTTCTCCACAGTCGATACCAAAAATGAGCTTGACATCACTGTTTCTGAGTTTTATTTCCTTTTTGCCAAGTATAAATGCTTTTTTTCTTTTGTTGTAGAGTGTTGTCATTTCTGCTACAATGGAATTGTAGCATCTGCACCAAGAGGCCTCAGTTGTGTTGAGGAGAGAGCATTTATAATGGGCCAAAAGGGGGTTTTTTGCAGCTCTGTCTGTTGGGCTTTTGTGAATTTGATCCCCTTCAACAGTTTGATTACTGTTCCGATGTTGGAACGGTAATTAAATTGTTTGACTCTCTTTGCAGGGACTGCTGCTTTTTTCCCTTTTGATGCCTTGGTTTTTGTTATGGGAGTTGATTGGCTTTCTTGGAGCTTTCTTTTTTTGGTTGGAGGAGCTTCTTGTTTTTTTGTTGGCTTTCTTTTGTTTGTTTTTGTTGTGGTTGGAGGTGTGGTTGGTGTTTGTTGTGTGGGTGGGGTCTGCGGTGTAGTTCTTGGGCTTTTTTTTGTAGGTAATGTGGTTGTTTTGTGGGTTTTTTGGTGGGGTCTGTGGTGTTTGGTTGTTTTTGGTTGTGGTGGTTGGGTTTTTTGTGGAAGGGGAGATGTTGGTGGCATTTCAGTAGATACAGGAGACGGACTTTCAAAAGGGGAGATACTTAAATCCCTGATTAGATTTTTGGGCATATGGGTTTGTTTTTTCCAATATCTTCCAACAGCTATTTCTGAAAAAATGAAAGCGACAACAGGGTATGAGTAATATAGTGACAAAACTGTATAGTTTTGAAGTTTTATATGCAATTTAATATGAAGTTATAGGTATTTGTTGGTAACAGTTACGGAACTGTATAATTTGACAGTTTGATTTGCACTTTATAATAAGTTACCTATTTGTTTTGAGTAGTGATTAAACTGTGTAATTTTGTAGTTTCATTTGCAGTTTGAATAAATTTAGATATGTTACTTGTAGAGTGATGAAATGAAACTGTATGATGTTGCAGTTTTTATAAACAGTATCAACAATAGGAACAACCCATTGTATTTTGTAAACAGTAACAATAACAATGAGAAGATTAAGTATTCAAAAATAACAACAATAAGAAAAGGCAATATTGAACAACGAGAATAAGAATAAGGTGTTGAATGTGTAAAAACAGGGATTTATGTGTAAAAATAGTGGATTAGAATGTTTAAAAGCAGGGACTAGAATGTTGTAAAACAGGGGATGATATATGAAAGATGGTTTATACATTTTGAAGTACGTAAAATGTATATATACGAAATATGAAAGAATAATGTACAAATTTGAATGAAAAATAATGAATAGGTGAAGAGAGATGTTACTTTTTTTCCCCATTTCTGTGAATCGGAAGTCAGGAACTATGAAATTTCTTCAGAGTGGTGATGGTTCTTCGTGTTGTTGAGAGTCGCCGATTGGAGAATATGAACAGCTTGGTGTTGTGTTGAAGATGAACGGTTTCGTTTTGTGGTTAGGGTAGGGTTTCAGAGGGAATGGAGTCGAACGGAGGAGAGATGGAGGAGTAAGAATGCGATTTCGAGCAGCGGAGATGTAACAGTGTACTGATCAGACTAAGATGATCGTGGGTGATGAAGATGAACGGCTTCGTTTTGTGGTTAGGGTAGGGTTTCAGAGGGAATGGAGTCGAACAGAGGAGAGATAGAGGACTGAGAATTCGATTTCGAGCGGCGGAGATGTGACAGTGTACTGATCAGACTGAGATGATCGTGGGTGATGGTTGCGCGCGTGTAAATTGGATGATACATTGTGGGTATTTTCGTCTTATTGATAATTTGAGGACTTAATGGAGTATTAAATTTGTTTTGGACCTAAATGGGGTATGATATGTTGGGCTTGGACCTTTGGGTTAGTTCCCCAATAAAAAACTAGTAAAAAGAAAGAAAGGAAGGCCCAAATGTCGTACTTTATGCGCTAGTTCTTTAGGGTTGGGCTGAATGTCGGTTATTTTGGGTTGGGCCCGAGTCCCTTTGAAGCCTTTGGGCTTTTCATTCTGATTGGCTACAGTCATAAGAGTGTGTTTGTTTTTCTTAATTGATTAAACTGTAATTTGCCTCTGATTACATAAAAAATTAAATTAAAATATGCTAATTTTCCTGAACAAACAAATTTTGTTTGAAATTCATTTTTTTAATTTTTAGATATTTTAGAAATAAAAAAAAAATTCTTTTACTTTGAAAATAATTTTGGGTAAATTATATTATTTGTCTATTTAGTTTGTACAAAATTTCACTTTAGTCTCTGAAATTTTATTTTTGTTCAATTTCAATTTAATGTGATTCTTCCATCAATTGTTGGGAATATCTTGGATAGAAGAAGATGTGTGAAAAATAAATAAATAAATAAATATTGATGTTAAGATTATTACGATAACATATTTTGTTCATGGTAATTTGTTTGTCACTCGTAAATACTCCGGCCTTGTTTGATTTGTTTTTGATAAACAAATTTTGGAGAAATTTTTTTAAAATTTTGTTTGGTTTAGTGATTTTGAAAAAAAAAATATTCAAAATCATTTTTTATCTCCTACACATCAATCAATCACTTTTTCTCTCTCTTCTCTTCTCTCTCCTTTCTAATAACTTTTTCTCTCACACACATTTACTCAACTACAACAAAATATTAAATCATCCCACACTCCAAAACTATTTCCAAAATATACAATCAAACAAACTAAAAAAATTTCTAAACTCTTTCTTCAAAAAAATTTTTGAAAATTTATCTCCCAAACCAAACCAATCACATCCTTCTTTTATTTTTTCTTGGCAATGCATGACCAATCTTTGCTTTGTTGGCCATATTTTCTTTATCCTAAAACTCATATTGGTATTCTATGCTACTAATGAAAATTCGTACTATGTACGGGTTGTGAAAAAATTAATAAACATTTTTATATAAAATAATATAAATAATTAGATTTTTTATATAAATTATGAAAATAAAAAAATATTGAAACTTACAATTTAAGTTTCATAATTTATTCGTCACAATTTTAATTATGTAATTTTCAACCCCTTTGTTAGAGTTATAAACTTTGACGAATTTAATCCAAGCAACTCAAGTATTATGTAATTTACAACCCCTTTGTTAGAGTTATAAACTTTGACGAATTCAATCCAAGCAGCTCAAGTCAAGTCTGATTTTTATTCGGTAAGGACCTATGTAAAATTTAAAAATTCAAATAAATTTAAGTGGATTTGGGCAAAAATACCAAATAATTTGAGCAATCGAAACAAAATTATATATATAAATATATAAAATTATTTGCTATTTTATTTTTGTAATAATAAATAAGATCAATTAAAAATTTATTATTAATGAACAAAAGTAAAAACAATATATTTAAGTTTTTTAATAGAAATCTTTTTTATTATGTTTTAAAAATACACTTTTTAGAAAGGGATCATCGAATGAGTTAATATTAAAAAAATTACATTTTATAATGGCATAAAATAATTTAAATATGATTTTTGAAAATTATTTATAATTTAAAAATTATAATAAAATATTTAAATATAATTAAATTAAATCTTTACAAAATAAAAGTATTTGGATAATAAATAACTAAAAAAAGGTAAGAAGAAAATTTAAAATGATATTGCTATTTGATCTGAAAATAATTCTAAATGACCAATTAATTATCACATATAACACTCATTTTTTTTAATAAAAAAATATATTTCACGAACCGTCATTTTTAATAGAAAAATAACATTAATTTCTATTTGTTTTAGCAAAAGTCACCTTTTAGCAATTTGAGCCAAAAGTTTTTTATTTTTTTATTTTAGTTTGCTTAATTGACAATTGAGATTTTTAAAAAACAAAATATTTAACAGGATCCACCATGTTTCACAAGTGCTAAAAAAATCTAGATGAATAATAAGAAAAATATTTGAGACTTACAAAAAATACTGTACCGATAATAATGTGGTATTGTATGTGTCAACTCTTAATTTGTTTTACACTTAAATGTGATTATGTAGCATTGTTAAAACAATAAATTATTAGTGTAACTCCTATTTTTTTATTATATTAGAAAAATAATGTTTATTTCTATTTGATTTTAACAAAAACTACTTCTTAACTATTTAAGCCAAAAACTTATTTTTTTATTTTAATTTGTTTATTTGACAATCGAGATAAAAATAATTTAACAGAATCAACCATGTTTAGCATATGTTACAAAAATCATTCATTTTGTTAATGTTTTTTTCTTTTGTTAAAAAATATTTTTATTAAAAAATTTATTGTTCAAGTCCTTATAATTTAGAAAGATATAAAAAAAATTAAAAAATTTAAAACAAAAAAGTGACAAAAAATAAAAATATAAACTTTTAATAGCAATTAATAATTTGAACACATGTATTTAATAATATATTATGTTTAGACCAATAATATTACGACACATCATTATGACACATGTGAATATTGATCATATTTTAATTGTACTAACATAATTTACAAAAGAATCTAAATTTAAATTATTTCTTTTTAAATTTAATAAAGGATGCATAAATTAATAAATGAAATTGATCTTATTCTAATTATGGTAACATAATTTAAGGAAAAATCTAAATTTAAAATTTTGTTTTAAGAATATAAAAGTAATTTATAGATCAATCACACTGTGACACATATTAAGAAAAATTAAACAAAATCAAAAAATGAGAAAAAAGAATTACAACTTTCAGCTTTAATAAGATGACAACGTTTTGCAATTATAATAATATATAGATTGCAATTATGGTAATATAGTTTAAGAAAGAATCTAAATTTTAAATTTTATTTTAAGAATATAAAATTAATTTATAGACCAATCATATTGTGACACATATTAACAAAAATTAAACAAAATTAAAAAAAAATGAGAAATTTTTTTTACAACTTTCAACTTTAATAAAATGACAACGCTTTGAAATTATAATAAGGAAAATGCTATGAACCTCAAATATTTTACCAATATTTTTACCAACTGTCTCACATGTCCCACACTCATGTGAGACAATTGGTAAATATTTGAGGTCTCTAGCATTACTTTTAGAATAATAGCATACTACCCAAGCTATGTACGGGTATAAATAAATAATCAAAAATTAGTTTTAAATTAAAATAATAATATAAAATTTGTTTAAAATATGTAGTAAAAATGATTTATAATTAATTAAATTTTATTAATTTTTATCAGAGTTACACATAAGAGAGAGTTTTTATTCTAATGTCATTAATTGTGTATTCTAAGTTCTTAATAAAAACACGCATGCCATAATTTAATTAGTAAAAATTAAATAATAAATTTCAAAAATTATATTTATACAATAAAATATAAATACATTTCATTTTATAAATTTTATAATTTTAATTTACCATATAGGAGTAGTAAATTATAATTTTTAATATATTGATTTTTTCTTATTTTCTAAAGTCTAAAAATTGGTTTATTCAAAATTGTAAATTATCTTGTGTCATAACTCTTATGTGAAAATGGATTAGGATTGACTTGTGACGGAGGACTAAATATTAAAAATGACGTAAAAGCTAGTTGACTCAATATTTATGCTAATGTGATCTTCACCTAGTCATTAAAAATTGTCTTGATCATTTAAAATTATCTTTCTCGGTTCGTGACCTATATGATCTAGTTTGGAGATTCCAATATTGGATTAAACATTAAAAATGAGTCTAAAAAATTTAGTTTAAGTCGATTTTTTTCCAACAAATCTTGGTTTAAGCCTATAATACATCCTATTTTAATAACTCAATATGATTTTTAAAAAAAATAAAAAATAAAAAAAGTAATCTTAATGTTTACAGTGCTTTTTATCAATCAATAAAAAATATTTATAAATATTAAAAGAATTATATTTGAATAAATTCTAACATAAATTTTTTATTTTAAAATTCTAAGACCTACACATTTTGTTTGACTCTATCTATGACACTAATCTTTGGAGGTTTCATAGTCTTTTTTAGTGAAATGTCACTTTGCTATAATATAGATTGGAATATCGATACATATAAAATCATCAAACATTAAGAAAAAAAATCTATGAAAGATGTGAATTAATTCATATAATTTAGTAGTACAAAAATTTAAATTTTAAAACTGATTGGTTAACTTTCTTTTTTAATTTTTAAATAGATTAATTAAATATCCTTTTAAATTTAAATTTTTAAACGAATTAATTAATTTTCCTTTTGAAATGTGTAAATCAAATCATAAAATCTATTTAAATTTTTAAATAGATTAATTACCTTTCCTTTTAAATTTAAAATTTTACATGAATTAATTAACTTTCCTTTTAAAATGTGTAAATTAAGGCATAAAAGCTATTTAAATTTTTAAATAGATTAATTACCTTTCCTTTTAAATTTAAAATTTTACATGAATTAATTAACTTTCCTTTTAAAATGTGTAAATTAAGGCATAAAAGCTATTTAAATTTTTAAATAGATTAATTAACTTTCCTTTTAAATGGATTAATTACTTTTTTTTTAAGGTGCCGTTTGGTAATACTTACGTTTTCAGTTTTCTGTTTATATTTACAAAAATTTAAAAGACTCAAATAAAAACTTGTTTGGTAAAATTTTTGATTTATAAATCAGTGGTCTCAATTTATAAATTTGGCCAAAAAATGAAAACACAAAAAATGTGTTTCCATTTTGAGTTTTCAGTTTTTTTTTTTTTAACCACCCAACACTAGCCACCACCCGCCACCATTTTCCACCACCATCTTCCACTGCCACTACCTCGCACCTGCTACCATTTTCCACCACCGTCTTTTGCCGCCGCCACCACCACCACCCGCCACCTGCCACCACTTTCCATCACCGTATTCTGCCGCCACCACCACCTGCCACCACTTTCCACCATTGTCTTCCGCCAGCACCACCCGTCACCTGCCACCACTTTCCACCACCGTCTTCCGCTGTCACCACCTGCTACCGCTTTCCACCATTGTCTTCCGCCACCACCACCTGCCATCACTTTCCACCACCGTCTTCCGTTACCACCCTCCATCATTGTTTTTTGCCGCCACCACCCACCACATGCCGTTATTACCCATCACCTGCCAGTCATCATCGTCTTCTGTCACCACCACTCGCCACCACCCACCACTACCATCTTCTGTCGCCACCCACCCGCTACCACCGTCTCCCGCTGCCACCATCCGTCACCACCCACCACGCCACCATTCGCCATTTCTCACTCTTTTAGTTTATATTTTTTAAAATTTTCAAACATTTTGTCCAGACCAAATGCGTTTGTAATTTATGTTTTTCTAAAAAATAAACAAAAACTAGTTTATAAAATTTTTGTAAATATAAACTGAAAACGTAAGTGTTATCAAACAGGTTTAAGGATAATTTCTCAAATTTAAACTGGAAAGTTTAGAAATGAATTTTACAATTGATTTTGAGAATTTCAACATGATGGATTAGGATAGTTTAGACATGAACTAGCTACCCACCACCCACCGTCACCACTTTCCACCACCGTCTTCCGTCGCCACTTGCCACCACTTGCCATTTCTCACTTTTTTTTTTTATATTTTTAAATTTTTTTAAATATTTTGTCAATTACCAAACGCGTTTGTAGTTTATGTCTTTCTAAAAATAAACAAAAAATAAAGAAAAATCAGTTTATAAAATTTTTGTAAATATAAACTGAAAACGTAAATGTTACCAAACACACCCTAAATGATTCAATAAAAGCTAAACTAATCGAAGATCTTTTAATTATTTAAAAAATAAGAATTCTAGAAAAATAGTATGAGGGTTTTTGAGTTTCACAAGTGCCTTCTCATTAGAAATTCCCTTTTTCCCTAATATATATATAAGTCTATGGTTTTTAGCTTTTTTTGGTTTTTTTTTACAGACTTTTGATTTTATTTTGAAATATGAGAGTCCCTTTGTTAAAGAATAATTTTCTAAATTGTATATCTCCTATTAAATTTTTTCCTTAATCGTATGATTATATTTGCTTTCAATTTTGTTTCCCTCACCTAAAAGTATGCCTTTGATTGGTGAATTATATTAAAGATTAAAAAAAAAACAAAAAATATCTTATACCATGTAAGTTGTTTCATGAAAACAATGCAACAATGAATCAATAATGGTGACATATAGCTTAGTATAATTTCATTCCACTTTTGTAGAGATTCCAAAATGTTTTGCTACACTTTTTTTCTTCCTCTTCTTCTTCATCTTTCTTTTTTTTTTGGTAAAGGGGAAAAAAAGAGTAAGATGTTTAACTGTAAGTATTCTTTTCAATTTGTTTTTGCAATTACCTTCAATTGAGTAAATTTGTTTTGTGTTTGTTATTCTTTTGGGTAATAATTCTTTTGATTATTTAATTAGATATAGAAGTAAAAATTGACTGACTTTGATTATTCTGTGATTTGACAGTTATACGTTCCATTGATATCTCAACTTGAGCTTTGTACTCTTTTTTCGTACAAGAGGGACTATAGCTTGGAAGGGACTTTTATCCATAATGAAATTTTGATTCTTAATTTTATAATATTGTTTAGAGTCCTCTTCTAATTAATTCAACTTGTTTTTTCCAAGTTGATAAAATATTTTCTAATTGTTTGTGGTAGTAAGTGAAGAATAACACCTACTCATGCTTACTGAGAGGGTAATTTTTGGGAGAAATTGGGCCGAGCTTCGAGTTGGGCTTTAAGGCCCAAAACACGAAGGATTAAGTAAAAAGGCCGTAATAAAAAAGGGAAGGGGGAGTGGTTGGGAATTTTGTATTTTTTTGTATATTGGGTATTTTCATATAAATGTGTAAGGACAAAGAAAATTCATTATTATTGATAAAAAACTTTGGAATGGTTACATGTGAGATACTTGACTTATAAAAGCTCACAAGCAACACCTTGGAGGAGGTAATTGAACAAAATCTTTCTGAGAACTTTGAGCTTTGTCTATTTGTCAAGTTTTTCTGACTTAGGCATCGGAGAGGTTTCCGGCACACACCCGCCGGCTAGCTCACGTTTGTGTTTTCAGGTGACAAAGCGACGTCGTACGGAGGAGCGTGGACTTGGTCAACAGGATTATACGAGGAGAATTATTTCCTCCCCGTACACTTACCCAATATATATATATATATAACCCATTGGCAATTTTTGATACGGGCAAAACACTTGGACAATTTTCCTGCAAGAAGATATGAAGGAAAAAAAGGGAAGGGGGAGTGGTTGGGAATTTTGTATTTTTTTGTATATTGGATATTTTCATATAAATGTGTAAGGACAAAGAAAATTCATTCTTATTGATAAAAGACCTTGGAATGGTTACATGTGAGATACTTGTATATACAAAAACAGTAATATTACAAATACAGAATTTCATTGAAAAATATAATGCTAGTAGCATTGTAAATAGGCCCCATTCAAAATAAATGGACCTTTACCAACACTATATTCTATGCACTTTGAAAAATTTCACTTGTTTGTTTCCTTTTCCCTACTAAAGCTATTAAGCTAAATTGTCAATTCATATATGGTTGGTAAGAATCAATCATTTGAATTATACCCCAAAATTTTGAGGTGGAGAGGGCCATGTTTGAAAATAGCACTTGGCATGATCAATTTCAGAGCCTAATTGTCCAACTCCATCACTTGTTGCCTCCACTAGTCCAAGCTCATTTTCCAAGTCTCTCAACCACTCCCTACAATATTCAATTTCTGTGTGATGGTCATAGTTTGAGCTTTGGGAAGCCACCAGTTCTTGTGGTAATTGTGGAGATTCATCAATGGATTGAAAAGGATCAGCCAAGTTATCCAACATGTCCCAAAAGTCAATATCAGAGTCCTCCAGTGGAATTTCAATCACTTGATGATCGTCTGAATTATTATTGACTTGATCATATGCAATTGTCGCGTTATCAGCCTCACAAGGTCCTCCCAAATTGAACAATGAACCCTCTTCTTCTTCTTCTTGTTCTGGTTCTGGTTCAGGTTCAGGTTCAGGCATTGAAACATCAACTCGAGCACTCGAATTTGAGTAATCCGATGCATCACAAGAAATGGAGGAATTTGAACTACTTGATGATTCTTTTAGTTCATGATCATGATCAGTAGTTGGGATGTCTTCTTTGGGTTCATAAGACTTGTTGGCCAGACCTTCTTGACCCTCATCAAGTACTAGCTCTTCTGTACCTTCATTGTTGCCATAGGATGACATGAATGAACTAGTTGAAGATGTTGAAAAGGACGAGGTTCTTGAAAAGTCATTGGTTTGATTTTTATGATTTTTCTCATCTTTCTTAGCCAATCTTTTCTTCAAATGTGTGTTCCACACATTCTTAATCTCGTTATCCGTTCTACCGGGTAAATAAGATGCAATTTTGGACCACCTGAAATTCATTAATTCATTTTCATTAAGTACATTACAATTAATTTGTATAAAATTATAATTATGTAACATACTTGTTTCCCAAAGTTTGATGTAGCTTAATTATGGTTTCCTCTTCTTCATTGGTAAAGTTGCCTCGCTTTACATCAGGCCTTAGGTAATTAATCCACCTCAGTCGACAACTCTTTCCGCATCGCGATAATCCTAAAAATAACAAAATTTAAGCAAAGCAAAACAATGTCAACTTTAGATGATGTACTTATCAATGAACAGAAACTTATTAAACAACAAGGACTATTAGTAATATTTATTATTTATTAATTTCTTTTATTAGTTGGACTAATGAGCTCTATTAAAATATATTGTCCAACTACTTTTGAAAGCTCAAAGTTATTGAAAATACTTTACATTTTGATGGGGATATCATAGTATACAAGTTTGGTGATGGAGATTTACCTACCACACAACATGATGTTTTACCTTTAAATTTCATATTTTAACATGATTTTCAAGATTTAGTGGTTTGAAAACTTGTGTAATTTAGGCACTTCCTGGCATTTCTGTCATTTTCATTGTTTGTTACTTTTCTTCAGCTTTGAATTGCAAGACTCATTATTAAAATAAAATTCAAAAAATTAAAAGAACACTAATGTTAGTATCAAACAAATAAAAAGACTCACATAGTCAGAGTAGTTCACCATATTTCTAATATGACGACTGCGGTCAACTAATAACTACAAATCCTACAGCTTTTTTTATTTATTATTATTATTGTATTGTATTGTATTGTATTTGTCTTTAAAAAATTTTAAAAATTATTTTTAAAACTATATTTATCATTTATTTTTTAAAATAAAGATGATAAAATTACATTGTTATCATTATAAGATCAATTTACTTTCTTTTCTTAAATAATCTTTACACTGAAATTTAATAAATGAATCATCCAAATGAGATGGACCACACATACTAAAATAAATCACCCCGTCTATTTTAATAGACTAGAGAGAAGTCACTCTATATATGATATATATATATATATATATATAGGTAACAAATTTTACAGTTTTCTCACTATTAACTAGTTACTACAAAGCATCTTAATAGCCAATCAGGGTGTTCATCGATTCTTTCAGTTAAATCATAGCTTTGAGGAATCAATCACTAAATTACCAAGACTATGATCATCTCATGTCATGCATGACAGAAAAGAAAAGGACAAAAAAAAAAAAAAAAAATAGGTAATCAAGAAATGGCATGTATAATATAACGAAAATGTTTGGAACCCCTCACAAAACAGAACTCTCATGACTCTTACTAATGTATTGATCATTAATGTATTTGAATTTTTTTTTAGAGTTGTGTTTGATAGTGACATGAATAGTTCAGATCATTTTAGGGGTTGTGTTTTGTGAGGGTTTCTATCATTACTGATAATATTAATACTATTAGGTAATAAATCATTTTCTCTATCATTTCAACATGGGAAATGGTCCGAACCCCCATTGGGGGTGATCCAAGGGCCCCAGTGGGCTCTGATTGGTCAATTTTTTTTTTTTTTTTTGACTAACCCTCCACGTGTGTGTGGGGGGTGGTGGAGGTGGTTGGAGATTGGGGTCTCAATCAAAGTCCATTTTCAACATGTACATGAATTAATGGCAAGGAAAACGTGATAACGGCAAGTTATATTTATTTATTTAATTTTTTTTTTGTTTTTTGTTTTTTGGGTGAACATGTATTTTTCTTAATTAGTCTAGGTGGGGACAAAAATACTAATTCTAAAAATACAGAATCTTGTCATAAACTTGTGTGAGACCTACAAGTATGTGAGTGTAATATCTTAATTTCTATGTGACCAAACTCTATATACATAGCAGTTATTTGATAAAAAAAAAAAAGGTCTAGGCTAATATATAAAATATCATTAAGGTCTTAAATTTTAGTAATTTTGTGTTTAACACCAGCATAAAGATGCTAAAATGGATTCCCCTTAATTTTGGCATTTAGAATATGATTTCAATAATAATAATAGTAGAAATGCCATACTCAGAATTACATTTTTCTTTTTTCTTTTTCTTTTTTTTTGGGGTGGTGGTTGGAATGAGTCCGGAATGGTACAAAAATTTCAGATTAGACCATGACATGTAAAATAATAGAGACCAAGACATGTAAAATGAAATTTCTACTCTTTCTCGGCAATATGGGGTAGATTCAACTGTAAAATGAAATTGCTGACATAAACAAAATTCAAGAATATATATATTATATATAGGAGTTTTCTTAAGTGTGCAAGTGCACACCATGTGCCACTTACACAAAAAGTGTAAGTGTAAGGTGTAAGTATAAGTATAAGGTGTAAGTGTAAGGTGTAAGTGTAAGGTGTAAGGTGTAAGTGGGTTGCATATGGTGTGCAACCTCAAAAAAGGTGTAAGTGTAAGGTTTAATTTTTTACAAAAGGTGTAAGTGTAAGGTGTAAGTGTAAGGTATAAGGTGTAAGGTGTAAGTTGCACACCATAACCAAACCCTTATATATATACCAAGAATATCTTGCAGTAAGTAATTCATGAGAATGTCCTATGGAAATTCATGCACCAACACCTGTCACCTCATTTGCGTGTATGCTTGCCAGTGAATATATTAATTTATTTATATTTAGGCCATGGGATGTTTCAAAAAAGTCAAAAAGTCAAAAAGTTACTCAAAAAGTTAAAAAGTTAACACTATTCACCAAAAGTCAACAATTACGGCTTGATGTTTTTTTTTGTGGCTAAAATAACCTATTTTGTTTTTTGTGGCTATTTTAGCCCCAAACCAAGTTCCCAAAGTGTTTGTACAAGTACACATATTTAATTGATAAAATTTGTAAATAACATTAACATTCTTTTATATTTGAGCAATGTTGGAGATATTAAATTTTTTATCAAATTAATGATTAAATGTCTTACAATGTGAGACGCTTGATCATTTATTTTATATTGTTACAAATTTGAGACCTATAATATTTTCCTTTATAGTTTATTTGTAATCATCTCTCTCTTTTTAACAATAAAACTAGTTGTTTGGAAAATTAGTCACGAATTTTACCCATAAAAATAAGGAAAATGTTATAGGCCTTAAATTTTTTAATGCAAATGACTAAATGTCAAAGTGGACCTCACATCCATGTGAGACATTTAGTCATTTATTTGATAGAAAATTTGACAACCCTAATATTATTCTAAAAATAAAGCATGATTGAGATTAAATAGGTATATTGTGGGTCTATACATGCAATGAATCTAAATTATTTAGTATGCTGTTCAAAAAAATAAAAAACAAAAAATTATGAGCATATAATTTTACTTTCTTTTTTTTTTCACGTGCTTATTAATGTATGTTTCCTTTTTGCTTTTCAAACTTAAACTCAGTTCATTTACGTAATTGAGTCGACTTAAGTTAGGTTCGAATTTCTTAAATATTTAACGAGTTGACTCGGACTCTAACTCGAACTAGTTTTGAGCGAGACGAGCTTCAACAAAGACAGAGAGAGAGAGAGAGAGAGAGAGAGAGACCTGCTTGTATGGGGAGAGAACGCCAGTTGGAATAACCATTCTTGTGAATGAAAGAGATAAGCCTCAAATCCTCAGCAGGGCTCCATGGACCTGTCTTCACCTTGCTCTTGTCACAACATGGTGCTCTCCCTCTACCCATATCCCCAAGATGCTCTCTCTCTCTCTCTCTCCCTTCTCTCTCTCTATATATATACAGATTATGATCACCCTCCTCTTCTTCTCTGCTCACATGATGGTTTCTTTCCAACAGACCTCTCTCTCTATATATATAGGAGAGAGAAACAGAGATGACTGCCCAGCAGCGATGATTGCCAACGCCTACTAATAATCAATAGAAAAAGACATTTAAAAAAGTTACTCAAATATAACTAAAGCATATTTTATTAATTAAGTAATACATATGTCATCCATTTTATTAATTTGTCTCAAGTTGAGATCAAAATTAGACCCGTCTAGTTCGGTCTATGTGGTTTATTTTTGGGTCCGTTTTGATAATTCGAACTGTTAATATGTAGAACTCGTCGAGTACTACACGCTTGTAAAAAATCACGTTGATCGGATATCAATAGCTATGTGATCAAATCAGTTTTGTATAAAAAAAAATAGACGGTGAAACAATTAACGGTTGATAAAAAACTGTTTTGTTCATATAACTATCGATATCCGATCGACGTGATTTTTTACAGGCATATAGTACTTGACAAGTTTTACACATTTAATGGTTTGGATTATCAAAATGAAACCCGTGGTAGATCCCCACGGGTCCAACAGCACGGTCCAGTCCAATCTAACCACTGCCTAAGTAATATATATGTCATCCATTAAAGTCACTAATTTATTGGTCTTATCATTTCATATGTCATGAAGTTAATATTATTACGACTCATTAAATGGTATTTAAAATTTGAGAAATGTTTTTTGTCCCGAATTCTCGCGCCCCGAATGCTCCTAATGCCCAAAACGACGTCGTTTTGGGCATTATTTTTTTATTTTTTTTTCTTCTTCTTCTTCCATTTTCAGTCTGAACTAGAGAGGGAGAGGGAGAGGGAGAGGGAGAGGGAGAGAAAAGAGAAAGAGAGAAAGAGAGAGAGAGAAGAGAGGTCGCCGGTCGTCGGCCCAGCCGAGCTCGTCGCAGCCTCCGACCGCCGCCTCCGGCCCCGCCTTCGCCTCTTAGAAATTTTCTTTCAAACCAGCTAGTCCTTTTTATTTTGGATATGTTGTATTTCTTTAATTTGGGGGTTTGAAAGTTTACTTGTTTGCCTTTATGTGTGATTTCGTTTAGATTTTTTCCTAATGTTGGGTGTGCGTGGATAAAGTTAGTTTTTACGTTTTTATTTTTATTTTTATTTTTTGTGGGGATTTAGTAGAGTGATTTGTAAGTGGATGATGTTACCCCACTTGTGGTGTTATTGGTGTGGTGTTCGTTCATTTTTGTGATGTTCGTCCCTATTGTAACATTGACATTAATTAACATCCAAACGTAACATTAATGTAACACATAAAAAAAATTTCTTGCTGTACTTTTTCAAACGTAACACTCCAAAAAAACTCCTTAGTGTAACATTTTAAAGTAACACACAAAAAAATTTCTTATTGTAACACTCTAATGTAACACAAAAAAACTCCTTAGTGTATTTTTTCTAAACGTAATACTCTAATATAACACACAAAAAAACCCTTTAATGGAACACACACAACAATTCCTTAGTATAACACTCTAATGTAACATACAAAAAAAACTTTTTGATGTACCTTTTTTCAAATGTAATACTCTAATATAATACTCTAAAAAAATTTCTTAGTGTAACACTTTAATGTAACACACAAAAACTCCTTAGTGTAACATTCTATTATAACACACAAAAAAATTTCTTAGTGTACTTTTTTCAAACGTAACAGTTCAATATAACACTCCAAAAAAATTCCTTAATGTAACACACAAAAAAACTCTTTGGTATACTTATCCCAAACGTAAAGCTCCAATGTAACACACACACACACACAAAAAAAAGTGTACTTTTCATAAACATAACACTCTAATGTAACACTAAAAAAAGAAAAAAAAAAAAAAAAGAATGTGAGATTCTTCAAATCATTCCAAAAGAAGTACAAATATTCCTTTATAAATTTTGAACAAATGTAGAATTTTAAACTATGAGTGTTATGTTTGAAAAAAGTACACTAAGGAGCTTTTTTAGTATTTTTATGTGTTACATTGAAGTATGTTACATTATAGTATTACGTTTGAAATTACACTGATTAAAGTGTTACGTTTGAGAAAAGTATACTAAGGATATTTTATTTATTTATTTATTTTACATTGATGCGTTGCGTTTGGGAAAAATATACCAAAGAATTTTTTTGAGTGTTGCGTTTGGGAAAGTACATCAATGAGTTTTTTAGTGTGTTACATTGAAGTGTTACGTTATTGGAGTGTTACATTAGAGTTTAGGTTTTTGTTCGTAATGTGTGATTTGTTCTACAATGAGGAAAATTCAAAACTTCTATAGTGCAAATTGCTCAAATGTGTAATTTTACATTTTGAAAAAATTACTTTTATTCCTAAAAAAATTAAACCCAAACATGTAAATGACAACATTTTTATGTAATTTTTCACTTTAATGGGACCTTTGGGTTTATAAGAAAAAAGAGATAATTAAACCGTTCACAAGATCACATTTTGAGATTTATTAGTGTTTCACCCTTAATTTTAACTCAATTGTATTTCTTTAATTTTGAAAATTTGTTACTTAACCCTTTCCCTCACAAAATTGTTACTTTCCAAGCTTTTTTTTTTTTTTTATAAATTTTTTTATGAGTAGATTCTCTCCAAGTTTATAGTAGAGCTTCTCTCTCTAACTTTGAGAGTTTCTCTCTCTACACTTTTCTTTCTTTAGAGTTTAGGCATGAACGGCGGCTGAGGTGGGGGAGGGGGTTTTTCTAGTGGCCTCCGGCCTCCTCTCCCATCCTCCTATCCCTCTCTCTATTTCTTTTCCATGCTTTCTACACAATAACTTGGAAGCTTTGGGCTTTCCACCCTCTCTCTCTCATTTGTGAGGTGTTTATCTCCCTTTGCTTCAACTCTGGTCATGGCCTTTACAGATTCGCCACCTCTCCTCTTCTCCGATCCACTGCGGCGTCACCTCCATGTTTCGCGCCTCTTGTTTCGACCACCATCACCACCTGTTCGCCTTCTCTTTCCGCTAGATCTATTGTCCCTCTCCTAAATCTGTTGCCATCATCCTGCTCTACCGCCTTCCACCGACGGATCCGTCGCTACCATTGCCTAGAGTTATGGGTTTTGAGGGTTTTTGTTTTGTTTTTTGTTTTGGTGTGTTCTTAGCTTATCTACATAGTTTAGATATAGTTCATGTATTTATTTTAGACTTATGCTAATGTCGAGCTTTTATGATCGATCTCTCATTTGCAATATGAATATTATGTCCAAATCTATCCATAGCTTATCTTTGATGCTTTATTTTGGGATTTTCCTTTGTTTTACGCAACGTTTTTCTTTAGTTTGATGTAAGCTTGTTAATAATTTTTTTGTAAGTGTCGTTTGATAATCTTTACTTTAATGGAAATTTCTACTGATTAAAAAAAAAAATGCCTAGCTTACACAACATACATTATAGTTTAGGCTAGGTTGGACATCCCTTAAAAAAGTAAAAAAGTCACGATTCAATTTAAGTCACATCACTTCTCTATTACATCACCTTAAACTTAACTTATATTTTATAAAAAATCAAAAAATACACTTATTTAGAACGTCCCAAACAAGCCTTTACTTTATTCTGAATTAAATTAGAATGTATATGGGGCAGATTGTTACTCTGAATTAAATTAGAATGAATATGGGGCAGATTGTTACTCTATTTTAGTCAACATGGAACTGAAATCAGAGCCGTTGTTTTGAATATGTATGACATCATTTACAATTAAACTTTTGTTTTTCTTTAAGAATAACAGCATTAAAAAAATAATAATAAATAAATAAATAACCCAATTCTCAATTGTTAACAACCCATAAATATATTTGGCACAACAAATAAATTATTGATTCTTTTCCAAATAAATTTGTTTCATGACGATCAATGAATAATAATAATACTAAATAAATAAAAGAAAGGTACCTTCTCATTTTAGTTAATTCGCATTTAACATGTCTTCAAAACACCATTTAACATGACTTCAAAACCGAATTGAGAGATATCCAAGGAGATACAACATTATAAAAAAAAACTTTATTTTTTATATTTTTTTAAGAATGTGCTATGCAAGTTTCTTGCCTAGTTGCCTTTCCTAGTGTAAATTAATAAGCGGAAGTAGGGGAGAAATTCAATAAAGTTCGAATTAATAAAACAATAATTAGGTAACAATCTTATTATAAAAAATTTCTGAGTTAATTACCTAAAAGTTTTATTAACAAATGTTATGGTAGCTCAAGTTTTATTTAAGATTTTTTAAATCAATAAATCTTATTTAGTAAAACTGATAATATTATCAGTTTTTTTCAATTTTAAAAACTAAGAACATTATCAATTTTGCATAGTAATGTTTCAAATAATTGTTTCACTAATTGATAAAAAAAAAAAGAAGCATAAGATTAAATATTTTTATCCTTCTACTTATTGGTTTGATTCAACTATTCAACAAAATCAAAAACATTATCAGTTTTTTCATTTTTAAAGGTTTTTTCTTTCAGTTTTATATATCAATGTTCCATCATCATGCTCCTTTATAAACCAAATTTTTCAGTTTTTGCAACAAAAAAAAAAATTTTTTTTTTGGCACGTAATTTTTTTTTGTTTGTTTTTTCAATTTGAAAGTTGATATTTTAAAATTTTGAGAATCAAAATAAATGTCAAATCATTATTTTCCTTTATAGATAATCATAATGATAAACAATCTTTATTTAAAGAGCAATTTTGACTATTAAAAATTGAATAAGACTTGAAGGTCTAAAAAATTTTAATTAAGGCTTAGGCCTTGTTTAGGATAAACTTAAAAAGCCAAAAAGTCAAAAAGTTAAGCTTTGTTTGGGAAGCAAAAGTTGGGACTTTTTTTGTCTATTTTAGCCACAAAAAACAAAATAGGCTTTTTAGCCCAATAAGACAAAACATCACATTCAACTCATAATTATTACATTCTTTCTTTTACAAAAAAGTCAAAAAAACCTAAAGCTCCTCCCAAACCACGCTTTTTAGTCCCAGACTAAAATAGTCAAAAAAGCCAAAAAGTCAACCCACTTCCCAAACGAACCCTAAA